AAAAACACCCAATGTATATAAACTGGAGCAAGAGGTGGAGAAAGAACTGGCAGAGGTGTTATGAGAATGACATTTAGTTAGAGTCTCTTTGAGAGTTAAAATGTAATCACTTCTTTACTTTGGGATTCTCCCTGTCTCTTGTCATTATGTCCTACACATTGAGCTTTATTACGCACTCTGTGCCTCATCACAACCAGACGCTGCTGTGCTCCTCTGACCATAGGAACTGAGAATGTACATTCTATAGATGCCGTGAAAACATTTGCTAAGAAAACAACCCATTGAACTATAGTTGACCCCATTTTGTGGAATTAAGAGGGATTTCTTATTAATTTACCTCACATAACTTGTAGCAAATATATTTACTTAGATTATTAATGGTTTACAAAATGTAGCAAAATGACTTTATAGCCAGTAAAATCATTAAGTAAGATCATAATACTGATTAAAACAAACAGGAAACAGAAAGCTTGATGTGTAATATTGCATTCTTAAGTCAAAGCACTATACAAAGTGATGGTGCTGCCGAACAAGTGCAAAGAAATGTGAGAGTTGGAAGAAAAAAGCCAGTTAGTTGTTGATGGAAGATAGCGCATATTTCAAAAAAACATGAATTAGTATTCAGGATGTGCACTGAATTTGAGACTCAAAAACAAGTGGAGGCTGCTAAGAGGCAGAGTATTTCAAATTTCAAATATAAACATAGCCTATTTAGAGGAGTTGGCAAGGTTTCAACATATGTGTCTATCAGTTCCATCCTATTTTCCCTCCATCTTTTTTACAAACTTTTGATTCTTTAATTCAAATTATACCTGAGGTCCCCAACCAGGTTTAATGTCTGAAGTGGTGCTTCAAGTATTTGGGGGAGAGAGGTCAGACGTCTATACTCTGTCTACTTATATAAGTTGAACTATGACTTTTTCTCTGTTAATTAAAACCTGCCTGGTTGAGGATTTTACCTTCATACTATTTTATACCAAATAATAATAATTGGGTGATATAGATGGTGAAGCATTTACCCAATATAAAACCACAATACTCTTAGGACTCATCCGTGAAGGAAATAACTTTCTATGAAAGATAAGTGCTAAGAGGAATGTGGAGCCTGTGGAGGGACCTGAGGGCTCAGCCCCCATACCAGCTACTTGGACACCTGCCCCTCCCCTCAGAATAATTTACTTTAGAGGGTTGCACTGCAGTTGCAGCTAGGGGAGAGGGGCATGTCTGATCAGAGCAAATGGGAGCAAATGAAGGGGGAGGAAGAGAGAGTTGAGCACATCCTGGCCCACCAGGCCTGGAGGACGATATCCCTGCTCTGAACAGCCAATGCACAGAGTGGACCATATGGTAAATGTGGGCGGGTGCAGAGTGGAGACTTAAAGCCAATTGGTAGGCAACTGGACACCCCCTTACTGAAGGGTTGTGGGGAAGAGATGAGCCAGTCAGGGTGCAGGGTAGCAACGATGAAACATATAACTTTCCTCTAGTTCTTAAATGCTTCCCCCCCACTATCATGATCCCAATTCTACCTTACAAATCTGGCTAGACCAGAGGATGTACATTGGTACAAATAGCAACTGGAAACACAGGGAATCCAGGACAGATGACCCCTTCAGGAGCAGTGGTGGGAGTGGCGATGCCTGGAGGATGGAGGAAATGTGGGGTGGAAAGGGGGAACTGATTACAAGAATCTACGTAGAGCCTCCTCCCTGAGGGATGGCAGGGTGGGGGGGGAGACGTCAGATAGTGTAACATATGAAAAAATAATAATAATTTATGAATTATGAAGGGTTCATTAGGGAGAGGGGAGTGGGAAGGGAGGAGGAAAAATGAGGAGCCAATATTAAGGGCACAAGTAGAAGGCAAATGTTTTGAGAATGAGGATGGCAACAAATGTACATATGTGCTTGACACAATGATATATGTATGGATTGTGATAAGACTTGTATGAGCCTCTAATAAAATGATTTAAAACAAAACAAAACAATAACAACATATATCCAATGCGAAATAAAATTTAATCTTGTTCAAATTTGAAAGAAAAAAAAAGAAAGATAAGTGCTTGGCAAGTCTTAATTTCTCATAAATACCTTGTGATGACTTTTCTCTTTAAAAACTACCATGAACTTTATTTCATTCATGTTCTCTTCATACAACCATAAAAAACCCCAGGAAGATTCTAGATTTTATAGTAAGAACATAAGGAAAGCACGTTTATAGACAATAAAATATCCACATAATCCTGATTTAAACAAAGGTAGGCAATCATTCTCTGCTTAGCTCATGATCACTCACTCACTCACTCACTCACTCACTCACTCACTCACTGTCATTAACTCACTGACTCACAGCGACCCTAAAGAATACAGTAGACCTGTCCCCGTGGGTTTCCAGAACTGCATCTCTTATGGGAGTAGAAAGCCTCATCCTTTCCCTCGTGAATTAGACTAATGAGAACCCATGTGCTTCAAAATTACACTTGGGTCAGGGTTGGGGAGCGGAGATAAAAGGGAGACAATGTCAAGGAGTCCAGGAAGAAAGAGAATGTTTGGAAATTGATTGTGGTAGTAATTGTACAATTCAGCTTGATGAGATTGAACTATGGAATGATGTGATATATATATATATTAACTCCCAAATAATGAAAACATACCTATATTTTACTTGAGTCTTTTGTTTTAAGAATATATTTGCTTTCCCTGATTTTCCTTTCATTTGACTTCTTTTTTAATTTTTACAAGCATTTTAGGATATATACCTTCAGATAGCTTCTAGCAATTTAATGTAGAACTTGTTAGAATAGATGAGATTTACAATACAGTAAAGAAGTTCCTTATATTGAACTAGAATGTTGGAGAGCTGAATTGTACTATTATTCTACTTAACATGCATTGCCAGCTTTTTCCCATTTTCCCCCAATAAGTCTAGTTACCATTTTAGTGCTTTCATAATATTTAAGCAAGTGGGGTACTTTCACAGAAGAGTCATTTTTAAAGTTTAATAAAAGCACAGAAAACAGAAAGCCACATCCCTGCCTTAGGTCATCGGTTGATAGTTGATAAGTGGAGGACAGCGGCACAGAAATTTTCATGAATAAAAAGAAACCGTCTACTCACCTCATGGTGTACAACAAAGTGCCATCCTCTGTGATACGCAGGAGTTTGTTAGGCATGGTCATGTTGTGGGCCACTGACTTCTTTCCATTGTGAAAAAATGTATCTGGAGTCCAGATTTTACTTGCCATTAAGTTATTTAACCGAAGAACTGTCATGGGTCCTTTAAATTTTAACCTTTCATCCTTCCAGCTTTGCCGGAAAAATACATCTATTGTATATTCCTAGGAAATTTTGGGAAAATGGCAAAGTTCAATGTACTATATTTTGCAATGCAGATACTTTATACAGAACAAGCATCATTTTTGTTACTGAGAAGTAAAATATGATCAAAGTGATATTTTTATAAAGAAATGTTTATAATCTGTACACACTAATATCAGGAGAATTCTTGGTTTGCATTATTATTATTATTCTTTGAAAGTTCTAAAAGGATTTCTTCATCAGAAAGAAATTCTGCAAATTATCTCCTAACATATGTAAAACAAGCAAACAAACAAAAACACTCCAGTGCCCACAACACAAGCCCTAGAAGAGATAGGTTATATTAAATATGGATTACAAATGGATGCTAGACATTTGTTAATCAGTACTCAACTTTGACTCATGATAACCCATGTGTTGGAGGATAGAACTGTGTCTCACAGTGTTTTTATTACTGTAAACTTTCGGAAACCAAACACTAGACCTTTCTTTGCAGGTGCCTTTGGGCGGGATTGAGCAAGGAGCCCTGGTGCCATAGCAGTGACAGTGGTGACAAGTTGGATGGCTAAACAAAGATCAGCGGTTCAAAAGTACCAGCCACTACACAAGAGCAAAGAGAGTTACAGTCTTGGTAACCCATGAGGCAGTTCTACCCTGTCCTAAAGGGACAATATGAGTAAGAATTAACTCCATGCAGTGAGTTTGAGTTTGGTTTCTGGCAGTGTTGAAGTGATTATCTGTCAGTTATTAGTCCATGTTTAATATCCATCTTTCTGCAATACTTGCCACAATAATACTACATGTGGAACTCAATGGTTCAAAATAAAGACAAGTATATTTTGTTAGTGTGGTCCAAGCTAGAGGGAGGGCTAACTTGGAAATCTAAAAATCATGCCATGTCTTCATAACTCTAAATTCTGAACTGTCAAAAATGTAAATGGAATGTATATACACACATACATACACGTGTATGTATATAACTTTATTGTTAAGAGCTATTGAGTTGACAATGATGCATAAGAACTTGATATGACAGATTATAATGACCTCATAATATTTCTTTTTAAAAAATCATTTTATTGGGGGCTCATACAACTCTTATCAGAATCCATACATACATCCATTTTGTGTCAAGCACATTTGTACATTTGTTGCCATCATCATTCTCAAAACATTTGCTTTCTACTTGAGCCCATGGTATCAGCTCCTCATTTTCCC